GCCCGCGATCCCGCCCTGCACTGCCAGTTGGCTCTGCAGGTCCAGCTTGAGCTGCGGGCTCCCCTCGGCGAAGTCGAGGTCGGCCAGGTCCACCCACACGATGTTGGGCCGGGTGGTCGATTCGTAGACGTACCGTTTGTTCGTCAGGTCCAGCACCACCTGCCAGATGGTCTGCGAGGCATCAGGCTTGCCCGGGTCGGGGATCCGGAACGGCTGCGCCGCATTGCGGATCACCGAGAACATCGACGCGATGGCTTCGACCTGACTTGCGGGTTCGGGGAGCCGGCCGGCGTAATAGCTGGCGCGGGCGAACCGGTCGGCGGCCAGCGTCGAACCGGGCACCTCTGAGTTCGGTGAACGACTTCACCAACTCCAGCGCGTATTCGAAGGTCGGAGAATTGGTCATCACCCGGTAGGTGCGGTCGTGGTACACCTTGGCCTTGCCGTCGATGTACTCGATGATGGCCGAGTCCCCGGAGGCGTCGTCGAGCGCCAGATGGATGGCGGGCGGATCGCCGCCGGTGGGGTCGTCCATCTGTACGACCTGGACGTCGCTCTCGGCGATCCACGCCACCGCGTCGGCCACCGTGGCGAAATTGTCCAGGAAGTACTGCAGCCAGACGGCCTGGCTGAGCTGGGTCCGGCCGGCGTCCGGTGTGCCATAGGTGGACTCGGCGAGCCACAGCACGTGCCCGGCCAGCCCGGCCTCGTTGAGGCCGTCCACCGAGATGATGTCGAAGGCCGCGGCGATGACGCTGCCGTATTTCGAGGTCCAGCGCAGCTTGCCGGTGACGCCGTCATCGCGGGTGACACCGCGGGGCTGTGTCCACAGGTTGGTCAGCAGATCCTTGTGAAAGTCCATGTTGCGGCCCACCAGGACGGCTCCGCCGGCTTCCGGCCAGATCACTCGAGTACACATGCGGCACAGCCTATCCAGGACCGTCCCGCAACGGTTCTGGCTGAGGAAATTGGCACTGCGACATGGCTCTTACACTGCTCCGGCTGTCCATCCGTCGCGGACGAGTTTGCTGCTACGCTCCCGCTCGAAGCCGCCGGCCGCTTCGCTCAGAGGGGGAATCGTGGGAAATACTCGCCGTAGCGTCATACCGGCGTCGATTGTGGCGACAGCCGTCCTGGCCGCATCGGTCTCCATTTCCGCGATGCCACCGCACGTGGCGTCGACACGGGTGGCTATTGCTGATGCCGTTTGCTCGTGACATTTGCGGTATGTTCGCTGCTTGGTGGCGTTAATGAAGATGCCACGCATGTTTTACCGCTAACGATGCCGGTCTGCTGCAATGCGAAAAGTTTGATGTCTATTGGATCAGTGGTGCTGTTTCGCTCGCTTGTAAGGCGGCAGCCTGTTTTACTTGTTTTACGATGCTGACAATGCGCGTCAGCCGCCAGACGTTGCCGATAGCCATCCTCGCCTTGTTTCGACAGCTCCTCGCCCAGAGCTCACGCGGGAACTGAGCGACCGAGGCCTGACGCACGCATGGCCAACCAGCCCGAGCTGCCGTCCCGGTACCTCTTGCGCCGATCGCCGTCACCATCCAGACAGCGCTCACTGGCCTGATCGGTGTGGGGCACCGTCGAACTCGGGAAGTTCACCCTGCCCCAGGCAGTGTTCTGGTCGGCCAGGAGCCTGCGCACGGCGATCGCCAATACGATTGCCGCCGAGAAGGATCTGCTCAGCGGCGGAACCGGCGTCCTGCCCGAGGATGAATCCGTCGCGGCTGACAAGCGCATCGCGCTGAGCCCCTCGGCGCCTGCGACGGTTGCCACCGCCACCACGAAGCCCAAAGTTGCCCAGCGGCCTGTCGCGCCGGCACACACCGCGCAGCCACAATCGACATCACCACCGACCGGTGACACCGCTGACGCGATGCGGAAACCGCACGTCGCGTGTCGCGGTCGCTGCTTCATCCGCGGAGACGCCCGTCATCGCCACGGAACAGGTTCCGGCTCGGACAGATCTCTCTGCCCAGTCCGTTCCGCGCAGGGCCGGCATCACCCTCGGCTGACCGGGCGGACTCGGATCGCCGCGGCAGCATCAGCGTCAAGTCGGCCGCATCGGGACGGAAGTAGGCAGCACGCCGGTCACAGCGACCACCGCGCGGGGCAATATCGAGCACTCTCGCCCCTGGCTGCACCATACGCCCCACGGAGCCGCGGAAGTGCACCTGTAAGTATACGTTCTTCAGCCGTCTGCGTTGTATGTCAACCTGAACGCCGCCGATCAGGACTTCTGCCGCCGCCGAAGTTGCTGCCATCAGCAAGAGCAACCCATCCGCTATTGCTGAATACATCGCACCGTTCCGCCGAACCGACTCAAACTGGGAATCCTGCGCGCATCGGTAACGCCCTGTAGTTGCCGAGCACATATCAAGATCGTTCCCTAGGACAATGACATGCGGGTTGCGAACGCGTCAATATGGCCCAGCACACATCCCGCGACGCTCGATCCGGCCAAGAATTTCTGCATCGTCTGCGCGTTAAAATCTATGGTGGCGAAGGTAGACATCCCCATTTGGATGCGCTACATTCGTTCCTGTTGATGACGAAGAGAGCATGAGCGCGGGAGATGACGAACTACCCGCGAAGCAGGGGATTCAAAGCGGCCCAGCCGTATCGACCGGACGCTCTATACCGGTCCGGGTCGCCGCAGTACGCAGTGAGAAGTGCCGAGCAGGTCGATTCACTCGGCGGCAAGAAAGGAGGAGCTACCGTCGGATCGCCCGCAGAAGTTGTCGCGGGCCGATGCCGCAGCTACGAAGCAGTATCGATAGATGGTAACCATCTCCTCAGGGCCGGCGGCCCGGCGCGTCTCATGGCCGGGTTGCCGGCCCTTCTATTTCCTGCGGTAAATTCCAGGCTTTGAATAATGTTCTCTGCGCGCCCTGCCAGCGCTGTGGTACCCCCGAAGAACACATCCGGTACGACCCCCGACGACAGGTTCGATGACGAGGACTACCCGGCCTACAGCATGGGTAGCGCCGCTCAGATGTTGGGAACCACACCAGGGTTCCTGCGCAGCCTCGACGAGGCGAAGTTGCTCGCCCCGCAGCGATCCGAGGGCGGGCATCGCAGATACTCCCGCTATCAACTGCGCATCGCGGCCCGCGCCCGTGAACTGGTCGACCAGGGAACAGCCCTCGATGCGGCGTGCCGAATCATCATCCTCGAAGACCAACTCGCCGAAGCGCAGGCGATCAACTCCGAACTCCACAGCCGCTTGGGCGACGACGACACGGCCGCAGGCGCCGGCACCTAGGTTTCAGCGGGCACTTTGGCGAGCCCGCGAGTGTGGCAATGACGGCCTCCTTGGCATCGCCGTCTCTTGCCTCGGGATGTTGGAGAAGGCAGTACGTTTGGGTCCGACTGACCCAAGCTGCTAGTTCTCAGCGCCGCCCGCGTTACCGCTGCGATCGGATGACTCCGACCGGCCGGCATTCGGCGACGCATCAGCACCGTCATCGTCCGCCTGCTCGTTCGCCGCAGAGCCACCCGAGGTTGACGTGGCCGGCCGGGTCGACTTCTTCGGCGACGGGAACTTCAGCGTCGGCAGCTTCAACTTCGGCAGCTTCAGGGTCGGGAGCTTGAACGTGGGTTTCTTCGGCACGGACGTCACCACGTCGGCGGTGTCGAGGGCAGTGGTCTCGCCGGTGATCTCCGGCGTGCCGGTCTGGGCTTGCTCGTCGTCGTGCTTCGTCGTGTCAGCGGTCGGGTGCTTGAGCCCCGTTGCCGCCGAAGAGTCTGCCTGCGCAGTCGACAACGTGACCACCGATGCCGCATCCGGGAGCTCGGTCGACGACACCTCCGGCGCAGCGGCCGTGGCCCCAGATACCTTGGCGGCCAACGTCGACTGGCCGAACAGTGCCTTCTCGGCGGTGACAAATCCCTCGATGGCGGTCTTCACCGCATCCACGAAGAAGCTCAGCGCCTCGGCCGGGGTGAACTTGCCGTAGACATAGGTTCCCTCCAGCCCGCCCACCAGCGCGGTCTGCACGGCCACGGCGATCGGCAGCACCAGGCTCCGGGCGATCAGCTGAGGCTGCTTCGCCCACCGCGGATCGAAACCCGCCTCGGTGAGAGCCTGCGTCGCCCCGTCGAACGTCGGCAGCAAGACCGCCGTCTGGGTCGCGAACACCGTCGTCAGCGCGTACCCGATCACGCCGACCGGCTGAGCGTAGGGAACGAACGGGTTGTAGGCCATCAGCTGCACCGGCAGTGACTTCACCTCGTGCACGACAGCCGGCGCGACGTTCTCCGCGGCCCGCTGCACCGGTGGTGCGCTCACCGCGGCCGCTGCAGCGATCACCACCGCACCGGTCAGCGCCACCATCGGTGCCATCCGCGCCTGCACATTGCCCTGAGCGTCCACCGCTCCCCCTTCGGTTAGATGAGAAGCTCATATAAGCACAAATATGTTTGCTGCTGTGCGCGAATAATCGCACTGATACTGGCATTTCCCTTCAAGCAAAGTTGCTGTGCGGACCGCGACGCACTCACCTTGACGAACCCCCTGTCAGCAAGCAAACGCGTCCCGATAGTCGCCGGACCATCCGCCACCTCAGGGTCGCCCACTCGATTCCCTACGTGCGCAGGAACTTCCGCCGCCTCGGACAGACCTCGCTGAGCCAAGGCGCCGCGCGGCCACACCGGAATTTGCTGGCGGACCCGTGGGACACCGAATGAGGCCGGTCGCGCGCTGGACCGAGGAGTGGTGGCGTCGCCGCCATTCGACTACAGCGACACAGACACCGGCTTCGCCTACGTGCTCGACGCCGCCTCAAGGAGGGGCCCGAACGGCCCTCCTGCTCGGCCTGGTCCACAACGAGGCAGCCCGGATTCGCCGAGATCGAGCAAACAGTTCTTGGCGGTGGCGGAGGGATTTGAACCCCCGGTCGGTGTTAGCCGACTCTCGCTTTCAAGGCGAGTGCATTAGGCCGCTCTGCCACGCCACCGTGGACAAGCCTAAGCGGTCTATACCCGTCCGAGTTTCGCGGGCCGTCCGTCGGCCTGCAATCCGGCGCTGATCCGGCGGCAGTTCTCCCCCGTCGCGGTGATCTGCGAACGGGACAGCCGGCCCAGGTAGTGGTTGCGCACGCCGGCGCTGTAGGTCTGCATCGCCTCGGCCAGCAGGGCGCGGCCCTCGTCGGTGATCGTGGCCAGCACGCCGCGGCGGTCATCCGTTATGACCCGGGCCGCCTGCGTTCAGCCCAGCCGGTGGATCTGGCGGGTCACCCGGCTGGGTAACGACATCAGCCTCGGCCAGGTCGCTCCATGCGTGCAGATCCGTTGTCGGAGTTTTCGTCCAGGATGCCGAGCAACCGCACATCGTTGAGCGCGAGTCCGTGAGCATCGACCAGTGACCGGTTCAATGTTGCATAGATGCGCAGCGCCGAGTCCAGAAAATTTTGCCAAGATTTCTGCTCAGCGATATCCAGCCCCGGCATGGTGCTTGCCGTTCGCCCCCCAATCGCGTTTTCCTACCGCGCAATCGTACGGGCGCTGGAAACGCGCAGCAAAACCAATGTAGCTATGTTGCGGTTTCAACCGAACGTATGACATGGCGAAGTCTTCGACGTCGCAGCTCACGCGGGTGAAGTGGTGATCAAGGTCGCCGCAGCGGGCGTGAATCGCGCCGATCTGCTACAAGCCGGAGGTAGCTATCCGCCTCCGCCGGGCGCCAGCGACATCCTCGGTCTGGAGGTCTCGGGGACCATCGCCGAGATCGGACCCGGTGTCACTGGCTGGTCGGTGGGCCAATCGGTGTGCGCTTTGCTGGCGGGCGGCGGATACGCCGAGTACGTCGCGGTGTCTGCCGCACAGTTGCTGCCGGTGCCCGACAGCGTCGAACTCGTCGAGGCCGCGGCGCTGCCCGAGGTGGCGTGCACGGTCTGGTCCAACCTGATGATGACCGCGCGGCTGCGGCCCGGCGGGCTGCTGCTCGTACACGGCGGAGCCAGCGGAATCGGCACCCACGCCATCCAGGTGGCCCGCGAACTCGGTACCCG